ACTTTCTATTCCTGCCTAAGAGAATAGTCTCAGGATCCCTGAGGTTAGCCTCTTTAACACATTTTTTTTTTCTGTAACGACCCCCTATTCAATTCAGTTTCTATGCAGAGATGCTCTGCCTGTCTTAATTGCTACTTCCTTCCAAACTTCTCTGTCTTTGGTGGTCAGGACTCTGCAAATTCAGTGGGTTTGGTTCCTGTTCTGGGATTCCCAGGGCTACTCTAGTCATGGAAGGGTATCATGTGAAGGCCCAGATGCAACTTCTGTGAAATAGGACTTTAAAGAGTAAGTCCGAAAGTGTGATGATTTGGGCAGAAAAGATTGTTAGACTCACTACCCCTCAGTTTCTTCCTTTCAGAAATATTATAAGAACAACTCCATAGAAAAATCAGTAGGAGATGGACAGAGGTAGTGTTTCTAATGTCCTTAGGAGCCCCTGGCACTTCGAAATGGCTCAGTAGATGGCAGCTATCCATATCCAGAGGGATGTTGAGGAGGATATACTTAGATTCCAGCATGGTTCCCCATGATGGTCCCAATCAGGGCTCCAGCCAAAGTGGAGTGAGAAGGAGGGAAGATGGGAATAGGATGGTGTAGGGACTTTAGGCAGAAAAAGAGAATGTGTTCACGGATCTRGATTGGCAGTTTGCACTCTCAGCTCAGTATTAGATTCCCCAGAYCCCTAAAAAATAGGGGCCCACCCCAGGCCATTTAAATCAGGATGTTATAAACATGGCACAGGTGATTTTAATGTACAGCTGKTGCTGGGAAATACCTATCTTAGGCATTCGAAGCAYGGTCATTTGTCACTTAATGATGGACTGGTTGTCTGAGAACTGCATTRTTTAGTGATTTTTGACTTTGTGTGAATATCATGGGGTGAACTTACACAAATCCAGATGGAGCACTGGATGTATGAGCCAGTTACATGGCATTCAGTTTTACCGCAAATTTTTGTTCTTTTTTATAAGTATACTCTAAGGATAAAAYGTATAGTATAGTAAACCCCTAAATCAGTAACATAGTTGTTTATTATCAAGTATTCTGTACTATGCCTAAGTGTATGTGTTATGCTTTTATATGACTGGAACTTCAGTAAGTTCATTTAAAATAGCATCACCCAAATGAAGGGAAGGGAGAGGAGATGGGAATAGGAAAGGCAGCAGAATGAATCAGACATAACTTTCCTTTGTTCATATATGAATACACCACCAGTGAAACTCCACATCAGGTAAAACCACAAGAATGGGATACTAATTAGATTAATTTATACTCCATGTATGTATAATATACATTCTAAAACTTTTCGTATATATCTAAAAAAAAAAAGAAGAAGAAAATGCAAAAATAAATAAAACAGCATCACYTCAAAAGTTGAGAAATGCAAGGTGGTACAATGTTACACTGGCTACTATCTCACTAGGCAATAGTAATTTTTCAGTTCCATTTTAATCTCATAAGACCATCCTCATATAGGTGATCTGTAGTTGACTGAAATGAAACACGTGTTGCRTGATTATTGTGGGTTCACCAATGTTTTAAATATCGTGCACATATTTAAAATAACAGGAAAAAAAATCCAATATGTAAGAAGAGAAAAAGTCAGATATGTAGGGGTGAATCTGAGTTGAAAACAGAACATTTTTAAAACCCATAAAATTCTAAGAGAAATTATTTYAGGATATTTATTCTCTTGAAAAATCTTTAGAATCATGGCTGGAATAAGAAAACAACACTTTTTCTTACTGTTGGTTTTTGGGGTAGTAAAAACTTTAAGCATCTGATGATATCTAGATTTTCAGAAAAACAGAATAGCTGGTTAGAATGAATATTTTTCCAGGCATGTAGTACTATGAGGTTAAGTAGAAAAGCAATAGACCCTTGATTATAATACCTTAGTCATARATATATTAAAACAGAGAGACATGGAAAATGTGCACAATTTTTATAAACTAGGCCTCATAATGTCAAATTACATATAGGAGGACGATTCATATATTAAAAACACAATTGTGCTTGTAGAAAAACTCTAAAGGAAAATTTAAAAAATGCTAAGTAGTTACTGCTTAGGAGTTAAGAATAGGGATGACATTTTTTAAAAATATATTTTTTAGTTGTAGTTGGACACAATACCTTTGTTTTATTTATTTATTTTTAATGTGGTGCTGAGGATCGAACCCAGTGCCTCTCATGTGCTAGGCAAGTGCTCTACTGCTAAGCCACAACCCCAGCCCCTAGGGATGACTTTTTAAAATGGCACATATATGTTTTTAAAAACTGATGATGTGTTATTTTTTTTTAAAGAGAGAGAGAGAGAGAGAATTTTTTAATATTTATTTTTTAGTTATTGGCAAACACAACATCTTTGTTTGTATGTGGTGCTGAGGATCGAACCCGGGCCGCACGCATGCCAGGCAAGCATGCTACCACTTGAGCCACATCCCCAGCCCCTGTTATTTTGTATTGAAAAAAAAAACATATATTAAGTCTCAGAAAAAAATATGAGAAGAAAATATAGCAAAGTATAGTCAGAAGTTGATTTGGTGAGRTAGACTTGGGAGTGTTTTCCTCTTTTAATTATCCTTCCTATAATGAGTATTTTTCTTTTCGTAATTGATATAAAAATAAGTATCAAAACCTGTTTTCCTGCTTATAATTTTATTATCTGACCTAGAGATTTRGGTGGAGCACTCATAAAGCGTGTAAAGCCTAGGAATCAGTTCAGGGGGTTGGCATAAGCTTTYTTTGGTTTTCTTTTTCTTTTCTTTTTTTGTGGTATTGGGAATAAAACACCAGGGCTTATGCATGCCAGACAAGCACTGAGCCATGTTCCCCTTCAGCAAATCCTTTTTTGTTAAAGGGCCAGAGAGTAAATATTTTAGGCTTGGTCTCTGTCACAACTACCCAGCTCTGACACTGTAATGCAACAATAGATGTAGACAACAAGAAAATGGATAAAAGTGGCTGTGTTCTGAGCAAACTTTATAGTTACTGACTTTTAAGTTTCTGTCGCGAGGGGTCAAAATTGCCATGTATGCAGTCAAGGGGGAGAAATAAAGGATRTCCACGCTTTTTTTGCCCCTTTCGATGCTTTATTCACTCAAATTGCTCAATATAATTTCACTCCATAGGTTCTTAATCAAGATAACAATTCTTAATGCTAGGCACTGCAATAGACATAATCAATTCATAGCAAACAATTCAAGATTAACTCTAAGCACTGCAAACACACTTAATCATGACAGGCTAGTGACAGACATTCCCTCTGCAGGATAAGTTCAAAAGTCTCAAGCCTTAGGCTTTAAGTCCAGCAGATGCACACTTACTCAGACCACTGTGATCACGTCTGGAACCAAGGCAGGCTTTTCCTGGCGTGGAGTGGACAACCGGTTGAGGAGGGGGTCTTAGGGAGGAGTTGCAGCTCTCACCAGGGTTCAGACAAGGCGGCGGTAGAGTTTGAGAGTGGTGAGGATCACACAGAGAATCAGGAAAACGATGACAAGTGATGGGATATCAGTCCAGGTCCTCATCAGGCTCTCCGGCTAGTGTGCATCCTTGTTTCGGCTGGCTGAATCCCTGTTCATTTGCTCTATTTTTTATACTAAATTTGGGGGCTTTTGACCCCCCTTTCAATCCTTATCAGTTACCTCTGGATTTCTCCATGACATCATTTACCCTGGGGTCAGAAATATCTGGTCTGGTGGTCTCCACCCTGATCTTCTCACCTTTCCCTCTTATCAGGCAAGGACAGCCTGCCAGAGGCTTCACTCAGGGTAAGGAGAAATACCTTGTCTGAGGCCATACTGGAAGGCTCTGTTAGGTGGGCCTAATGAGACTGGAGTTTTTAAGATGGAGTTGCTTAGGCTCAGGCCTAAGGCCATCCTCAAAGTTTCATATATTTTTCATGTATTGCCCAATATTATTCTTGTTTTGACACCCCCCACCCCACCCACATTAAAAGGTGTAAAAATCATTCTCAGGTCTTTTAAGAAGCTGAAGGCCACAAGCTATAATTGTGGACTCCTGAATTAGATGAGTTAAATCAGGATTGTGAGGAATGAAACATCAGCAATGCTGAAAGTCCCCAACAGACATGGACAATAAACTTTGTGTTTATTTTAATCTGTAATATCTCTGCATCTTTTTTCCTTAGCTAAAGATTTGCTATTTAGTTGGATGTTTTTGGAAAAGGCTGCCAAGCCATCTTATTGAAACGTTAACAGAGGAACAGGGCAACCTGGAAAAAATGGTCATGTAAATACAGACCTATAAATATTGAGTTGTTCCTGTACTAGGCATTTCTGGGACAAGGAAGAACATATATTTTCATAAGTCAGTGATGAGAAAATTATAGGGGTATAAACAGAATACTCTAAGATYATATAAACAGATAAGTAATTCTGTTCATGGAAGATGATTGTGTTTATTGGAGAAACTGGTAAGAAACAATCTGATAGGAAGACTTGAAAGTCTTCAWGGAAAAAAACAAACACTGCAGAAGACAGTATTCTACTGTTAATATTGATCATAATATTAATACCACTAAGGAAACATTACTTTTTGTAGAACTCACAAACTTTTTAAGAGTTAATAAATCAAGAAAAAGAGTTTATAAAAAGATTTAGTCCTTAGGGCTGGGGATGTAGCTCAGGGRTAGAGCACTTCCCTAGCATGCCTAAGGAACTAGTYCAATCTCCAGCACTGGGGGGAARAAAAGTCCTAAAGAAAATCACACCATCATGAACTGAAAGTAGCAACTTTTTTTCATAGTGTACAGCACCATCTTTTATGTTCTCATCCCCAGAAAACCTCTTCCAGATTACCTTCTCTTATTGAAGCAAAAGTAACARGTAGTCAGTAAAATCATAAGTAATTGTTTCCACAGTCAACATAAAATATAGAAATTAATAAAAAACTGTTTTCCTCATTTCTTTAAATATGCAGAAACCATGTAATGTAATCAAATTGGTTTGAGAACAATTTGTGTATTATAAAATGTTAATGTTTATTAGGCTAACATCTAAAGGTTAATTTTTTTCTTTTAATTTAATAAACACTTATTTTAAATAGATCCTTAACTTCTTTACACTATAGATAAGTAACTACAACTTTGCTGTGTACTCACTGAGGCTCTTTTTATTTGTATATATAACTGTGAATGGAGCTCATCCATRCAAACTATCCTAGTACCTAAGGGCCCCTTGGGTGAGAGTAAGGATTAGTTGCTCTCCTCTTTCCTGAACTACTTTTATTTATGGCAATGTAACTGTAGCTACAAGTATACAATCCTAGATTCTGGGCACTTTTCAAAAATGGGATTCATTAAGTTCCACCTAAATGTAACCTTTTCACCATCGTTCTCACTATGCCTAAGTGTCTAGGCTTACCTACCAACCTTATTGGGGAAACGCTGGAGTTAAGGATGTGGAGGGCTTTTTCACACCAAGAAACCTCAATATTCTGTTTCGGAAGAACTGTCGACTTTGATGTGTTATATTACAGAAACCCGAACTGGGAGGATTAACCAAATAGCCCTTGGGTTTAAAAGCAGTTTGAAACCTCTTCTGGTCAGCCAGCTCAGTTCCAAAGTGGTGGGTAGAAATTTGTCTTTCGTTAATTCAATATGGCCTTCTTGCTGCAGTTCCAATTTCAATGTTTCATCAAGAAAAACCTTCCATTCCATTTAGAAAAATATTTTAGACTTCTCAGTACAACTAAACCACCTGCCCGCGGCATTTACATGCCATCCAGGTGCACCCTTGCTCAGCAAAGGGACGGATAAGTGCAGGTGTTTTTGCAAAAACCTAGATTTCTTTTACCCAGGTACCTTCGGGGTACGTAAGAAAAACTTTAGGTTTTTCAAAAGGGCTGTCAATTCGTCAGGATCTTTTTATTCGGGACGACAAACAGAACTCTACATCCCCAGAGGAGCGAACGTTTCCCGGCTCCGGCCGCGCCCGGGCTAGTTCCCGCCCCAAGCCCCACCCACCGGGATTGAGGGTCGCTCTCTGGGTCACTGTAAGGAAGCTCCCGCCCCGCGGAAACTTCCGTCCCTGGATCCAACGGGCTGCACTCTCCAAATCCCAGGGGCGGCCCCGGAAGTGACGCAGGGACGCGCCTTCCATTTTGTGGAACGCCAGAGCTGCTAAGTGCGTCAGTTGTCGAGAGACGTAGACGAGTTAAGTCCTGGTCTGCGGGGAGGCAGACGACTCCGTCGCAGACTACGGACCTCTCTGGGTCTCAGCTGCCAAAGATCCTGTCCGGTAGGTGAGTGGCTCACTTTGAGGGCAAGGCTTCTCGGATCGAGGCTTCTTCATGGCCGCTCAGGTCGCGAGTGGCTGGGGCTGCTCTCTTTGCGGAGGACGGCGTCTAATGAGCGCAGTTGATTGAGGTGGGCGCTGGGGCACGTCTCCCTTTTGGTATTGTTGGAGGGGTACTGAAGGTGGAAGGGCGGTCATGGTTGTAGTCCGTTTTACTGAGGGATTGCGCGCCCCTCCCTGCTACTGTTTGTCTTCATTACCCCGATCCTTCCTGTAGTGGGTCAGGGTGACGTTAGGCCTTCTAGCAGGGTCTGCCTTTTCCCTGGGTACCGTTAGGCCTTCCCGTGTGTTGGTCCAGGGACTCCGGCACAGCGGTACCAGACGAGGGGGAGCGAGAAGGGAATTTGGCTCACGCGCCTCTCCCCTGTCGCTTACTGTGCGGCCGCCATTTTGTGCTGCCTAGTGCCCGCCTGCTGCCGTCTGCGCAGGCTCAGCTGTGGCGTCGCGAGATTCCGGCTTCCACCCCCCGCTGTGACGCTCCTGGGTGGTGGCTACGCTTCCGCGGCCGGTCGCCATTGGGCTGGCCTTGCGGAGGGCGGGGTCGGCTCCGCCCGCACTTCTCGGCCTTTCCTAACTGCGGCAGATGGGAGGGGGCCCAGGAGCTGGGAGATTGTGCGGCTGCGCAGTTCAAGAAGTGGCAGTGGGCGTTGCGGTTGCTGCGGTCTGGGATCAGGGAGGGGGGGGATCGTGTTGGCAGGCGAGATTTAATTTTTGTCTACGAGGGACCTGGCCTAATTAGAGGCACTGTTGGCARTCTTGTTTATAACATCCATAGGTAAACATTCTTATTTGAGTCATGTTTGATCTCTTRGCCACTAATTGGTATTATTTCGATTGAATTATTTTTATTAACAGGAAATACTAGCCGGACATCATGAGTGGCTGTCGAGTGTTCATCGGGAGGCTAAACCCAGCGGCCAGGGAGAAAGATGTGGAAAGATTCTTCAAGGGTTATGGACGGATCAGAGATATTGATCTGAAAAGAGGTTTTGGTTTTGTGGTAAGTATTTAGAACTAGGTGAATTATCTGTTAAATAGTAGGTGAAGGTTTTTATTAGTACTGTTTTCACTCATAATGAACCCAGGTAGAATGCTTGTTTTCGGAAATGTTATACGCTTATTTATTTATTTTAAGAATTAAAACATCCTAATTGCTGTCTGGCTGAAAGCCACTCCCAGTCACCCCTTGGTTAGGTTTATTTGTATTGTTAGGATTACGCTTCCCATCCTGTCTTAGTATCTTTGATGCTTTAAATATGTTGTAGAATGCACATTTAAAGCTCTGTTTCTCTTATGCTTAAATTTTAGGAATTTGAGGATCCCAGGGATGCAGATGATGCTGTATATGAACTTGATGGGAAAGAACTTTGCAGTGAAAGGTGAGAGTCTTAGTTTTATAATTGGCCCTGGAAAATAGAGCAGCTGGAATATTCTTTGAACTTGAGTATATATAAATGGAGGGTTTTTATTTATTTTTTTTTTCTTTCTTTAGGGTTACTATTGAACATGCTAGGGCACGATCCCGAGGTGGAAGAGGTAGAGGACGCTACTCTGACCGTTTTAGTAGTCGCAGACCTCGAAATGATAGACGGTATGTGGTGGTTGAATGGCTGCTTTGAACAGTTAYTATAGGGGCAGTATTTACCTTTGGGGAAACATTAGCCATAAATGCTCTGGGACTTCTTTTCAGTCTGTGTTAAAGTGCTACTTCAGATTGATGAGTAATGAATCATAGAATRACACTTTATAATTATTTGAATAATTTGTCATGTCTGATTGTTTSAACTTGTCCTGAGTTGAACACAAGAAATGCGTTTGTCATGCACATTAACATTGCATTTCTTCTGTTGTGAATACTCATTTTTTTCCTCAGAAATGCTCCACCTGTAAGAACAGAAAATCGACTTATAGTTGAGAATTTATCCTCAAGAGTCAGCTGGCAGGTTTGTTGAAATACAGTTTTGAGTTATTTTAATGTGGCTTTTTTTAAAAAATAAAGTTAATGGGTAGTTAATTTTTATTAATGYTTTATTAAAAGTAGTTTTATCTTTAATTAAATTAATGGATTTAATTTGTAATTTTAAATTTTAATTAAATGTAACTGGGGGATATTTCAAATTTTAATATGTGATCAAATGTAAATGTTTTGAGGATATTTTTTCTTGTTTTTTAAAATCAATTTTAACCAAATATTAAACCCTTTATTTGCCAGCCTATCTGTGTCGTTGGCCTTATGACGAGGAGTGCCTGTGGGTTATCCTAATCGTTGTCTTGGTCACTCTTGGTTGGGCCTGGTTGACTTTGCCAGTCAGCTCCTACAGTGATCAGTTGGCCACCTCTAGATCTGTGTTTGCCGGTCTAGACGTAATCGGTGCACTTATTGAAGTGCCAGGTTGCAGCGATCCCAGAGCGTTGATAACGTGATCTGATCCCTAAGTTGAGAGCTGTCTTCCTGTAACGCTTCCGAATAAGAGGTCCTGGTCGAAAAGAGTTGAAAGATACGAAATTAGGTGGTCGTTGGAATCCTGATCGCAGTAAAGTGGTCCTTGGTAACTGCACAAGAGTAGAACATGTCTGCATCGCCAGTAGTCTGCTAATAGGGAGGGCTGTGCGATTAAAGGCTTCCATCGATTGGGTAGTATCCTTCAAGTGGGTGGCGAAGAGCCAGTCGGGCATATGTCATGAAGGTTTCTCCGACCGATTAATGGTTTGCTGCTTGACTAGCCTAGGGAAATATTAATAAAGGTAAAGTAAACTTTTTTAATGACATATGGGGCACAAAATAACTGGTGTCTTGTAAATGTTCTGTTAAATATAAAACTTCTACTTAGTCTTTACTTTAAAAATATGTACTGTTTCTTTTTTGTTTTTGTTTTTGTTTCTTGTTTGTTTTTTTTCCTTTTGTACTGAGCTCAATATAGACTAATACTACTTTAATGTTAAAAATCTGAATTTCCTCTAGCATTTTGCTTACAAGCAATATGCTATTTGTTTATTTCGTGCCCTGACATAATTTTTGAATTCTGATAGAATACAAGTGTGGTATATGCCATGTTTGTACTTTATCTAACAACTTCTCTTTCAGTAGTCTTGTTTTTATACCATGTGGTTGTTTGTGTGTCACTTTTCCTTTTCTTTGCTTGACACAATTGTCTTATGTTAAGGATCTCAAAGATTTCATGAGACAAGCTGGGGAAGTAACCTTTGCGGATGCACATCGACCTAAATTAAATGAAGGGTGAGTATGTRCTAGAGATTTTGTGAAAGTCTTTTGAAATATCCTGAAAGATTTTACTGTGAACATGTGTGAGAATTTACATAATTTGTTCATGCTCTATTCTGATGGTTCTCCATCTGGGGCAGTTTTGCTTCCCAGGGGATAATTTCTGGAGACAGGTTTGGTTGTCTCAACTGGTTGAGAGTGCTAAAGACCTCTAAACTGCAGAGGCCAGGCATGCTGCGAAACATGCAAAGAGTTTTCTGGCTCAGAATGTCAGCAGTGCCAAAACTTTGCTACGCTATTGTCTGTCMGAAATTAGACCTAGGGGCTGGGATTGTGGCTTAGCAGTARAGTGCACGCCAAGCACATGGAAGGCCCTGGAATAAAGATATTTTGTCCAACTACAACTAAAAAGTAAATATTGGGGAAAAAAAGACCTAACATAGGAATAGCRAAGTGTAACAGAGCAACTACTACTTACCTAGGTTGCTATATATAGTGCATGYGGCTATGGGGGGGTATGTGTCTTTTTTAAGATTTTTTTTTTCTTCATTTTAGGGTGGTTGAATTTGCCTCTTATGGTGATTTAAAGAATGCTATTGAAAAACTTTCTGGAAAGGAAATAAATGGGAGAAAAATCAAATTAATTGAAGGCAGCAAAAGGCACAGGTATCTTTAATATTTTTAAGTCATAAAGTTTTACTTAATGGGTTTGTTAGGGTGTGTCATGAAGGCTCATTCCCCACTTTCTTTCCCCTTTCTCACACTTTTCATAGTAGGTCAAGAAGCAGGTCTCGATCAAGGACCAGGAGTTCCTCTAGGTCACGGAGCCGATCTCGTTCCCGTAGTCGCAAGTCTTACAGCCGGTCAAGAAGCAGGAGCCGGAGCAGGAGCAAGTCCCGTTCAGTTAGTAGGTCTCCTGTGCCTGAGAAGAGCCAGAAACGTGGTTCTTCAAGTAGATCTAAGTCTCCAGCATCTGTGGATCGCCAGAGGTCCAGGTCCAGGTCCAGGTCCAGATCAGTTGACAGTGGCAATTAAACTGTAAATAACTTGCCCTGGGGGCCTTTTTTTTAAAAAAACAAACAAACAAAAAAAACACAAATTCCCAAACCATACTTGCTAAAAATTCTGGTAAGTATGTGCTTTTCTGTGGGGGTGGGATTTGGAGGGRGGTTGGGCTGGGCTGGATATCTTTGTAGATGTGGACCACCAAGGGGTTGTTGAAAACTAATTGTATTAAATGTCTTTTGATAAGCCTTCTGCTCACATTTTTGTGAATGTCTGAAGTATATAGTTTGTGTATATTGACAGAGCTCTTTTATAACTAAAGCAAATTTAATTTTTTTGTACTAGAAAAATTGAACATTTTAGTTGATTATTCAAATATGTTAATTCAGAATTAGTTTAATGCCTCAATTAAACTAATTAATAGCTTTGGACACTTAAAAGAGCTCTAAATTTGCTTGTATATAAAGGCTTAATTTGAGTTTTCCTTGTTAGGGTCAAGGGTGTCCTCCCATCCACCCCATTAACAGCTGCAGGACAGACACATTAAAGCAGCTGTTTGTTATTGATAATAAAATATTATAAAACACGTTTTGTCTTGTTTGTCTGAAGAAGTCCTATATTACTTGCTTTTTCCACTCTTTTTTATGTGTAATATATTTTAAGACACAACACATTTAGAATCCTGGAGTAGTTTAGTATGGGTTTTTTTAAATAGTATTTTTAAACATTTCCAGGCTAGTTTAAAAAGTCAAGAAGTCCATGAACTATTTAAATAATGGCTTAGTGATTTGACAGTTAATCTTGTGTCTATTCCTTCAYGCTTTTCCTTTGTTGCTTGACTATTTGCATTTGTTTCTTATGCTAACAGTTTGGGGAGCAAATTATAAAATCTAATGCCTGCCTTAAAGGTTTTAGTGCATAGGGATGGTCAGAGATGATAGAAAGCTTATCAGTCAACATGAACATCCTGTTATTTTTAGTTCTGAAACATTGCCCTACAAGTGTAGGGGGAAACAATAGTGAAAACTGCTTAAAGGCCAACATCCCATCTATTTAAAAATGTTGGGCACATTACCTGAACCTTCAGACTCCTAAGTATAGGAAATGAGCTGTATTCTAGTATGGTCAAAGATTTAGTTTTAAGGTTTTTGGGTGCTAGGCTAGACACATAATTTGGGGACACAGAAAAACATCTACTTAACTGCAGTAGTAAGTGCTTACCAATATATTCACTGAATCTTAAGATTATAATACCACTCTATCAGGAAATTCAGAAACTTTGTCAACTGATCCAAATAAGTGGTGGTGAAGTATTAAAATCTAGGAAGTGTGGTTTCTGAAAGTCCCTTTCAGAATTTCCTGGTATTTCCTGCCCTTTTCTTTCGGGAAGGCGGAATTAGAAGTAGCAGAGAAAAAAATCAGACTTTGGTATCCCCAGATGTTGGAAGTCAGGAATACTTTGGGGAATAGGTGTGAAGTTTGGTACCCTTCTCTTCTGGGTTTTAAGACTGGAACATTGAGATATGAAAATAATGTTCATTCTTTTAGTAGGCGGAGTCTGGGAAAACATTTGAGGGAACTGGAGTGGAAGCTAAAATTTTGATTTCTGTATACAATTGCAGCCTGAAGTAATATCACTTCCTCCCTTGGGTTCTTCAGATGTACTTAGGCATTATGGTTAAATGTAATKGGATATTACATGTGTCCCCTCCCACACAGAGAATTAGAAAGTAGAGGCTTGCTACTTWTAATCTTTACAAGTGTTTGAGAGGGAATAAAATCTGATTTTAAGGGCTGGGGATGTGGCTCAAGTGGTAGCGTGCTCGCCTGGCATGTGTGCGGCCTGGTTTTGATCCTCAGCACCACATACAAAGATGTTGTGTCTGCCGAGAACTAAAAATATATATATATATATTAAAAACTCTTTAAAAAAAAAAAACTGATTTTAAAATGGCAGGTAACTGGGTTATTAATGTTCCAAAAAGGGAATTTGAATTTTAAGTTTTATGACTTGAGAAGTCATAAGCAGAGTGAGTGTAATGCTAAAAACAGTTTCAGAATCAGCCTTTATGTGAGGCATGATATTACCTTAGTTTTTTGTGCTTATATTTCTGATCTAATTCTCTAAAAGTAATTTGAGGATAATACATTTTAAGTCCAACCTTAATCTTTCTTAAAAGCTAAACATCTTGTTTCATTTCTTTGTTCTGGGTAGCTGTGTGTCTTAGGAGGTGTAATCAGCTAGATAGAGGTGAGCACTCTACCACTGAGCTCCAGCCTATTGGTTATTAATGCTTGTTTTCATTTAATACCCCAAAAGCTTAAGTTTCTTTAGAAAAAAGAGTATTTCAAATTTTTCTTCCAATTGGGAAACCATTCTGACAGTAGTTCACAGTGTACCTCCAATGTGGGGGGTTACTTTATTCCACTGATGTGTCATGAGCTGATGGAATAGATTGTTAATGAAGTTCTATGTTTTTTGACTTCACCTTGTTACAGCTTCTCACTACTGATGGTCTTCAGATACCTTTCAAATATCSACATTTCATTGTGAGTGTGAATGCTATTTTGAGTTTGCTTTGTTTTGCATTTTATGTCCACTTTTCCATGCTTGGTGTCACGACTATTCTCACGAAATATAATCCAAAAGATATCAAAAAGAAAGGAAATGTGATCTTTTATATTAGAACTTTTGTTGTGTACTAATTCTGCAGTGTTCTTGAGCACTTATTTCCTTTTGGGTCAAAAAACTTGGAGATTTGAGTATTTGATTAATGGGTAAAACATGCCATTTATTGATTAGCCCAGAAATGGAGTTTTATATGCTAATTAGGCACTGWGTTCAGAGGTCTAGGGCAAAAGGCAGATTATTTTTTGCCTTCATAGAGTTTATAGTCTCTGGATAAGTCATTTTTTTTTTAACCAGTACAAGCAGGGGATGATAGGCGAGTCTTCCTTTGTCCTGCAGACCAAGCCTTGATTCTGCTGAAGTGAATCTTCTCTTTGCAAGAAATGAGGTGGTTTGGAAGTGCTAGAGAAAGACAAGCCTGGTKTTTGTTTTGTTTTTGCTGCTCTGTAGTTGAGCACACTGGCTTTCTCAGTTGCCATTTGCCCAGAATCCAGGCTGCCGAGGGAAGGGCTAGGCTGTGCAAGGGGAGCACTCTTCCCCTTTGTGGAYGCCATTTTCCTGAGCTCTTGAAATTGCTTCTTCTGTTGCAGCTGTATAGATCAGTTTTGTTTTCTCTGTAAAATCAAAAAGGGTTTAAGGGATGGTTGGGAGTACAATAATAATAAAYGTTCATTTTGGAAAATAATACTTAGTGCTGCTAGAGTTTATATGTTTATAATCTCTTACTTTTAATTTGACACCTCATGATTCAAACTCCGAGGAAAGATTAGCTTTTTCCTCAGTCTTCCTAATGGTGGGTAGGTACTTACTATGGAATATCAAGATTTCATTTCTTCACCTCTAGCAACTTTGAACATAAAATAACAGAGGAGGTGGGTTTATTATGTCAGCAAGAACKGTTTGCATTCTGGAGGTAACAGGGCAGGGAAGAAGAGCTTTAGGGAAATCTGACCAGGTCTTTTTGTCTCATTACTATTAAGGGTGTAGGGTTCAATAACACAAGCCTTTTTGTGACAGATTATTTACTCTGAGAAGAGCTGCTTGAGACTATTAGCTCCAAAGAGAAAGTACCACTGGGGGTCATCTTCCCAAGGTATACTGTGAGGAAGTTTCTTCAATATATAGACTATTGCATCTTTAAGGGCATTCTAGTCCTTTCTTAAACTAAAACTTTTTAAGTTTTAAGTTCATTCATATAGTTTTTTTTTTTTTTTTTTTTTTTTTTTTTTTTTGGTACTTGGAATTGAATTCTGGGGCACTTGACCGCTGAGCCACATACCCAGACCTATTTTGTATTTGACAGGGTCTCAATTGTGTCGTGCCTCTCTGGCTTTGAACTCGATCCTCTTGCCTCAGCCTGAAGCTGCTGAGATCACMGGCRTGTACCACCACGCCTGGCTCTCCCATACATTTTTTGGCAAGGTGGTTATCTTATTGGGCAAAAAAAAATCTTAAGTTGTCAAACTTAAAGATTGTTTTTCTACAACTCCACAGTAGTTTTGAACCAATGCTGATAAATGGTTCTGTGGTATGGTCAGCCCCCCTCCCCCTTTTTGGCTGTTTGAAAACAAAGTTTATATCTTAAGCTAATTGCAAAGGGAGAGAATCTGCATTTGCTAGTATGTAATATGAATTTTACCAGGGAAAGTTGAGTACTCTCCTCAGGTACCAAGCCCCAGCGCAAAAAAAATTTTTGATGAGAGAAATGAGGCAGGAGAATGAATTGGGTAAGTTATTGGAAAAAAGTATAGTGATGTTTAGGGTAAAATAAATGAGATGTGTTATAAAGCAAGGTTGAGTTTTCTGCTTTAAAGATATTTGTAGGCCAGGATTCTAGCTCAGTTTTAGAAGTTTGCTTAACATGTAATTAGAACCTAGCATGGGAGTGGGGTGGCATTTAGGATTAAAATGCACACCAGGAGGAGAYTTTTTTGGAGGTAGTGCTCTGAACAGGTGCCATGTTATCCAGTAGTGATCACATTAAAGTAAAAATCATATTAAGTTTATTGTGATGGTTACTGTTTAACAGGCTTGCACTTACTGTGTAACCAGAGTTGATGGGTTCTGGATATAAGGGCTGCATTGCTTTAATGTGGTTTTCCTACATGGGGGTACCAGTGGTACAAAGGGTTCTGGTCTGGTCCCAGGACCTTGAAAGCTCAATCCAAAAAAATACTGAAACTTCTTGAATTCTTGAAATAGACCTTTCACCAAATTATGTCTTACAACTATCTCYGTCCAAAGCAGTTCTGTCCTATTTTCTCAGACTGAGAAATGGTCTCCCTGCTTAGATAAAGCAGCCCATGTTGCACATCCAGTTTGGTTTTTCCAGCTRGAAGGCAGGCAGAGCATGCAGTTAATGGAAGCTACATTGGCTCCTAAAAGTTGCTGCTAGAAATGTGTTGAAGTCTCTGTTCCTATATAGGAGCAGAACTTGATGGGGGTTGATACTCACCCTTGGGAGGGTTGAATTTTTTGTAGCACCGGAAGACAATAATGAAGAGAAGCCCTTCACCAAGCTGGAAAATCATGTAGAGGAGAGGAAAGAAGAAAAGTGGCCCAATGACTTCAGGGGGAAAGGTCACGTTGAGGATAGTGGAACAGAGTTGAATGTTTTGGAATCCTGTCTCCATGCTGATGGTGCGTCTGCACCTATGAAGGAGAAGACGACAAAACAACTGTATTCACTCATAAGGGACATGAGGGCATGACTTCGGTTGTTCTTCCCCACTCCCAGATAACTGGGACCCTTTGCAATCTGATGGAAATCAGATATGTAGGGTGCATATTGATTTAAGAAAAATCAAATTGATGTGTCTGACCCAATCTGTGGAGGATGGTGCCTAGAAGATTCATTTAAGTTTTTAAGTACACATTGCTTTTGCAGGATTGCCAAATTTTAAGTTTGGAGAAATCGCCTTGCTGGTGAGGCATGAGAGGAACTTTTGAGTTGGTATCATTCACTGGCTTGTTAGGTCAAGTCTATAGGTCAGTTACATTTTCAACAGGTCATGGAAGAGTTTGTCTGAAATGCCTCGAGTTTTGCCTGGTTCCCAAGTTTGTRGCTTAGCATCTTAAAACAAATACCCTAACTCAGGAAGATATTTTTCCACTTTTGCTTTCCATTTTACAGATTAGAGRATGGATGTTTACATATAATGAATACACATTCAAATTTATTGAATTCCAARTGTTTTAAAATAGTCTTAAAATAAAAGCACATTTTTTTTTTTTTAAATGAGGGAGGCTACTGTGATGACATTTTAGTATGTGGCCATTTACTGTGATCTGCTTTGAGAAAATTGATGTCACTGGTCATTGATGGCCTTTTGGTTTGTGTTACATCCATAGTGATTTGTTAGTACAGCTTTTTAAATGGATAATTATTTTTTTWAAATATTTACTTTTTAGTTGTAGTTGGACACAATACGTTTATTTTGTTTATGTGGTGCTGAGAATCAAACCCAGCCCTTGCATGTGCTAGGTGAGCGCTCTACTGATGAGCCACAACCCCAGATCCTGGGTATTTTTTTTTTAAATATTTATTTCTTTTTTAGTTATTAGCGGACACAACATCTTTGTACATGGTGCTGAGGATCGAACCCGGGCCGCACGCATGCCAGGCGAGCGCACTACTGCTTGAGCCACATCCCCAGCCCCCTGGGTATTTTTAAAATTCTATTTATAATTTTTTTGTGTGTATGTTGGGGTATGTGCGCTAGTAATGATTACATTCCTTTATAAGCATTTGTTCCCAGGGCTAAAATGAGGGAAAGTCACTATAATAYGTTGAATTGGGTGTCCTTGTTCCCAGTTACCCCAGGCCATTACTCTCTAGGGAATTCAGTAAGAGGTGGAATCTAGACTCTGGAGGGAGGGGCACTTAGCCATTAGGTGTTGCTGTTTGGATGATAGATGCATTTGGTGTCTAGGTTTAACTTAGGCCTCTAACCCATTCAGTAATTCTCCTGTTTGATACTTGTTTCTCAGTCCAGGGCTCTTTGTTCCTTTGGTGACTTTGAACATACAGCTAGGAAAATTCTTTGCCCAGATCCTTTCTTTTTGTACCAGGGATTGAACCCAGGGGCTCTAATACCTACCGTGCTTTGAGACAGAAGAGAGCAGAGAGAAGGTAGCCTAGCAGGAAGCCAATAAAAGGCATCAGGGAGGAGACTGTCAGCAGGTGTGGTGTCATGGCATACATGATGCTGTTCCCTGTGTTGATGATGGAGAGGGCTGTGACGGCCACGCTGAATAAGAGAGAGATTATCATCCCTCCCTGGACAGAGGACAAGAAAAAAAGTCATTGTGGGAGATAAGGGTGGGGATTAGGAATGAAAAAGCATTTTTTACTAGAATATTGATATTTGAAGTGGAAAGGGAGAATATGAAAGATCTGTTTATTTTTAGACTTAACAATAGTTTGGATACTTGGAAAACAGAAACTTGACTAATAACTCTAATAAAACTCAGCTACAAATCTTTTTTTGACCCAGCTCTGGAGGGCAGGTTTTCAATGAATGGCTGTAGTTTTGAGGAATTTTCAGGTCTCCTATAAAGTGGGTGGAGGGCCCAAAGCTGTTACTTCCAAGATTCCTCTGAGGGCAAGTGACATGTGATCTGTGACCATAGTACTGCTATAAATTCTCTGAGGTTTTACTCACTTCACTCTTCATCTATCGTATTCCTGAAATGCTGGGAGTACATACACCACCACCTTTCCCCAGACTCCCTTTGGCTTCTTAAGTCAGTCAACTTGGCCTTAGTGCCTTYTGAACTCTACTCAGAGTTCTCCCAATCTTAGCTAAATCCTACTCTTCYTTATGGTCTGGCTAAAGCCCCTCTCCTCCAAGATGCCCCTATGAGCACTCCAGCTCTGAAAAATCATATCTCCTTACATTCTTCCAGTACCTGTTCTTATRCAGTTGTTGAATTTTAATATTTTATTTTTAGTTGTAGTTTGAAACAATACCCTTATTTTATTTATTTTTATGTGGTGCCGAGGATAGAACCCAAGGTCTCGAACATGCTAGGTGAGTGCTCTACCGCYGAGCCACATCCTTAGCCTGAATTTTTTTTTTTTAACATTTTTCAGTTGTAGGTGAACACAATATATTTTATTTTTAATGTGGTGTTGAGGATCAAACCCAGTGCCTCAYGCATGCTAGGCAAGCACTCTACATCTGAGCCACAACCCCAGTCCCCATTTGTTGAATCTTATTTCTCTTGTGTTACTTTGTACAAATATCAAATTATGAAGACTGTCTTCAGAATATGCAGCATAAACTAGCATCTAGTAAGTAAGAGGAGCATAATGTAAATTTATTAAAATAATGGTTATGCCTTATACTTTTTTTTTTTTTTGGTCTTCTAACTTCAAAAGTATTTGTGGGTACCTTATGATCCCATGAAATAAGAGTACCAAGCTTTTTTTTTCCCCACCCTTTTTTTTGTGTACCAGGGATTGAACCCAGGGGTACTTAATGACTGAGTGGCATCCCCACCCTTTTTAATTTTTTGAGATAGTCTTGCTAAGTTGCTCAGGCTGGCCTTGAACTTGCCTCAGCCTCCCAAGCCACWGGGATAACCTGTGTGTGCCACTACACCTGATTCCACCCCCTTACCCTGCTTTTTAATAAGGAAACTCCTTGTTTGCATGAGTCTCTCTCAAAAGTCCATGCGTGAAAAGCTCGGTCCCTAGGATGGTACAAATGGGAAGTGCTGTGGACATATAGGAAGTAGGGCATTATGGGAGATCTTTAGGTCATTGTGAATATACTCTTGAAGGGGACTGGAAACCAGGTCCATGTTTATGTGTGTTCTCTTTTCCACACCCACATTCTTCCTGTCACAAAATGTAAGCACTTGCTCCAACATTACTCATGCCATGACTAGCCACCCTCACTGGACAGGGGGCTACCTGATCTTGGACTTGAGTCGATAGAACTGTGACCCGAAATAAACTTCTTTACTCCATAAGTAGCTTTGTGTGGTGGTGTTTCCTTCCCATGTTGTCCCACATTCTTACCTTCATAATGTAAGGCACATATTTTGGCCGTTTAGATTTGAGGATGATTCCTATGGTGCAAGGGATGAGAACCGTGACCAATGATATCATAATGCCCTTATAGGGCACCTTATCCTCCAGGCTGCCATCATAGATCCCTTTGGAGTAGATATACAAGAGGAGAGGCATCATTCCCAGGGCAAAGAAGGTGGAGCAGGTGGTCATCACGATGCTGGGTGGAAGAGATGAAAACAATCTGTTAAYAGGCTTGTAGAATGTTGGCTATGTGCTCGGCACTATGCTAAGTGCTTTACAGTTCATTTCCTTAAGCAGTAAGCATACTATCTCTTTGGCTTTTAGGGAAGCTGATGACTAGAAAAAAATTGTGACTTGCCTCAATTCAAATAGTGACAGGTAGAATTTGAATCCAGATCCATGCAACTACATTTGTCCTTTGTGCTTCACTGAGAAAGGGGTCATACCAATCCTATCTATAATAGGAATTCTTRCTTTGAGCATCCACCATATGCACAACCCATTTTGAATATAGCTGATTTCCATCACCTTGACTCTAGCATATAGGATCATGGAGTAGCAATCTGGTACAGTTGCTATAGGCTTAGAGCTAGGGAATAGCTGGATAAGAGTAGCTTTGTCCAAAAGAAAATATGGATCAACAAGTGCATTTTACCTGTTGGGGAATGTGAGACAGTGGTCTTTGGGAATATATATATATATATATATATATATATATATATATATATGAATGATTAGAAGGCTATAAGAAATAGAAGCAAATCAGAAACAATAATTTGAAGGTCTATACTAGTGGAGCAAGAGAAGAGGCCTCCATCACTCAGATTAAAAAGAATTTCATAGATGCAGAGCTAACAACAAAATTCAGTGTTTTGAAAARATTTATTATACTAGCAACAAGGGAAATTCCCAACTCTATAGTAAACATTAAACTTGATGGTGAAATAAGGACTTAATATCACAAAAATGAAAGCAACAGTATTATCACTTTTTAAATTATACTATATATAGACCCTCTCTGGCACAGCAAAACAAATAGAATAAATAGGGATGGGAAAAGAAGAAACAAAACTTTTATTAATATTTTGTCAATAACAGGATTATTCATAGAGAAAAATTTCCATTGTAACTAGCAAGAGAATCCACAGGTTCTAAATACATTCATAATATTWAAAAATGGGACCCAAGATACTAATAACAAATAGGTAATTTTTWAAAAATGCCATTAATCAAATAGAGTTCACATTACCTGTACTCTCCTATCACCAAGCTAATCTCATCAAAATTCTAAAATGTGCTGGCTTTTTCCCCATGAGATAGGACAGACCACACTCCCATCCTAGGAAGGAATTGTTCAGCTGGTTACCCCTCTCAAAAGGAGTATCACTGTAATGTCCCAGCTACTTTTTAAAGATAAAACTGAGCAACAAAAGAGCCAGCCTACTTGAATGTTTATGTGCAATAATCAACATTAGCCTGACCAATAGTGGTCAYTGAACAATCCACTAAAAATGGTAATAATTGTCGAGTACTGCTAAAATATTAACTATTGCTTTTCTTTTTTTAACCAATTTTTTAAAAATTTTTTAATATTTTTTTTTTAAATTTTTCAGCGGACACAACATCTTTGTATGTGGTGCTGAGGATCGAACCTGGGCTGCACGCATGCCAGGCGAGCGCGCTACTGCTTGAGCCACATCCCCAGCCCTAACTATTGCTTTTCTAAGAAGGAAAGTATCCCTTTTCTTTATTCTTTGGTATCTACAAACAGCATCAAGGCTAATGGTTTTCACTTAGTCCTCTTTACATTGCTGCCCTTATTCATCTTCTCCTCTATTTCTTTATAGTCTAGAGCTAAGATTCATTTTATTACTGCCCTTCCCCTATGTCTATTTCTGAGAAGTCTAGCTGTCACTCATTCTGCTGCGGCCTCACATGGCCAGGTCATGGCCCCAGGTATTCTGCTGAAGAGGTCCCAGCTAAAGGCCAAAGGCTTACAATGGCCAGCAAGGCCCTACCTGGTGTGCACCCCACACCCCACTTACTTCCCAATGGCACCTTCTATTCACTCCTCCTGCTCCAGGCTCCCTGGCCTCTTTGGGCTTCTCAAACAAGACCTTCAACCTCTTGTTTAAGACCATTAAWCCTTTATTTTCCTTTGTCTGAAAATTTTCACTCCCTACATCCTAAGGCCAACTCTCTTACTCCTGGCAAGGCTTTGCCAAGACACTCTCAATGAAGCTCCCCGACCCCTAACCAAGCTTTTTAAAATTTCCACCACCCACACCGACACTTCTGATCCCTTTTACCTAACTCTATTTGTTCTTTTCTCATAGCACTCTTYGACTTCTATTTTACTTGTTTACTATGCTTATTGTTTATTTTCTGGTCTCTCTCCTCTATTATGTAAGCTCACAAGGGCTGGGCCTTGGTCTGTTGTTTATAGATGTATCCCCTAGAACAATTCCTGCCTCAGGGAATATTTGTTGTTTAATGACTATGAAAGTCAGGGCTTGGTTAGTTTTATGTTGATCCAAGTGACAGACTGAAGACCTCAGAAAGCMTKTAGGGTGAGGCAGGCGTGTGGGAGCAGATGGGCCACAGGTCCTGGACACTGKGGGAGTATTTACCTGGGAGATGACTGAGGTGGGCATTGCTCCAACCGAGTCCCTGAAAATCCTACTGGTTGCTTTTTGTCTGAGATGGGCTTCATTATAGTACTCTCTCAGTCTCCCCATTTTTCAACTACACTTTTCAACTGTTCACCCATTCTTTTCTCTCTCTTGCCGCAGCTTCTTCCCTGTTCTGGAACTCATTTCAAATTAGATCTACCAAATGTTAAAGCTGAAAGAAACCAAAGAAGACATTACTTACATGTTTAGTGTGGAACTAAAACTTGCTTTGGGGGACTTTTTTATCCCTGACCTTCTCACTGAACAAATACTATTACTAATAAAATTCCTCCAAGTACAAAAAAAAATGCCATTAATCATATTCACAAAAACGAAATACTTAGATCTAAAAGAGATGTAAGATCTATTTTTTTGAGATATAAGGTCTTTATAGAAGAAATAAAACTTCATAGATATGAAAAAGACCTAAGGCAAAGAAAAGCTACACCATATTTATTGTTGGGGAAGATTCAATATAAGGGGCTGAGGCTGTARCTCAGTGGTAAAGTGCTTGCCTCCTATGTGTGAAGCACTGGGTTCAATCCTCAGCACCACATAAAAATAAATAAAGATACTGTGTGTTCATCTACAACTAAAAAAAAAAAACATTTTAAAAAAGATTCAATATAAAAATGGATTCTAAATTTCTGTGTAAATATTATGCAAATCAAGGGGCTGGGGATGTGGCTCAAGSSGTAGCGCGCTCGCCTGGCGCGCATGCGGCCCGGGTTCGATCCTCAGCACCAYATACAAAGGAAGATGTTGTGTCCGCCGAGAACTAAGAAAAAATAAATAAATGTTAAAATTCTCTCTCTCTCTCTGTCCCTCTCTCTCTCTCACTCTCTCTTAAAAAAAAATATTATGCAAATCAAAATTCACCCAATTTTATTTTTGAGGGGTTGGTACCGAGGRCTGAACTCAGCCACTCTACCACTGAGCTATATTCCCAGTCCTTTTTCTAGGTTTACTTTTTAATTTGAGGCAGGCAGGATTTAAGTTATTGGGTTTGGCCTTAAACTTTCAATCCTACTGCCTCAGCCTCGCTAGTTGCTGGGATTACAGGATTGAGCCACCATGCCCAACTCAAGAAATTTTTTAGTAAACTTGAAAGCTGATTATAAAATTCAGGTGAAAACATAAAAGGCAGCTGGGTGCAGTGGTACACACCTAATCCCAGCAATTTAGGAGGTTGAGGCTCACAAGTTCAAGGCCACGAGGCCCTGTCTCAAAAAATAAAAAGGGTTAGGGATATGGCTCAGTGGTAAAATGTCCCTGGATTCAATCCCCAGTAAGGGGTGGGGGGAGTAAAAAGCTCAGAGTAGCTAGCATTTTCAAGAATAATGTATGGAGGTGCTGGGGTCATAGCTCCATGGTAGAATACTAGGCAAGCACTTGGGAGGGACTGGGTTTGATCCTCAGCACCACATAAAAAATACAGTAAAAATGTATTGTGTCCATCTACATCTAAAAATTTTTTTAAAAAAGAATAGGTGGACAACATTTGAGATATCAAGACAATTTGATTGTAATTAGGAAAATGTGGTAGTGAGGCAAGGCTAGCCATATTAACCAATAAGAGATTCCAAATACAAACTTATGATATGTAATGAGAGAGGTGGCATTATATAATTACTGGGAAAAAATTCAGTGGTGCTGGGAATTTATTCATGTGAAAAGATAGATCACATCACACGTAAAAATAAATTCTAGGTTGATTGAAGATCTCCACATGAAAGGCAAAAATTGAAAACTTTTCAAAAGAAATTTAGAGAACCTTCGTCACTTTGCAGATAGCATAGGCAGTTCCTTAAACTCAGAAATTTAAACGATCAAGAAAAAATAAAAATGGCAAATTTGACTAAGTTAGAGTAAGCAATCTTTTTAAGACATCAAGCCTCAAACAGTGAATAGACTTTCACCATATATAAATGACTTTGATAGTTTAAAAATACACTAAAACAATCCTATAGATAAACAAGCAAAGCCCATAACATTTCCAGAAGAGGTACACAAACGGCCAATAAATACATGGAAAGCTGCCAGGTCTCCCATGAAATCAAATTTAAAATCACTGTGATCGATTTCATACTCCTCAGTTGGCAATACTTAAAACGTCTGATAATTCCAAACATAAAGATAGGAACAAACAGGGATCCTAATGAAGTACAAAGTGAAGCAATTACATTTGCTGTAGAATTGTGAGTCCTCAGCCCAGCAGCAGTCTAGCTTTTATTACATATCTTCTCATCTGGGAGCAAGGGACCATCCACAAGACTGTCCACCAAAGCAGTGGATGAAATCTGCAGACATGTCTGACTACAGAATGGATCAACTCAAGCAAATTTAAATGCAATAGTTATTTCACATACATGCCTGTTTCTCAAAACAAGTTGTCAAATGATGACAGTTAATATAAAATTTAAAACATGCAAATACAGCAGTATGTTTTATTTATGGATATCTAACATGTGATAAAGATCCCAGGAAATGCAGAACACTAAATCCCAGCAGGTGTTTCCTTTGGAGAACAAGGGAATGAGATGGGGGAGGGACATGTGGTGACTTCAGTGCTGGCTTTTGATTTTTGTAAAAAAACAACTTGCAACTTGTGTGTTTGCTTTGCTGTCCTAGAGTAGAGAAGTCATGCTTACTTTGGCTTGGTGTGTCAGATTTTGAAGTTTGCTCTGGGACATGCCGTACCTTATCTCATGGCATCCTCTTCTCTTATTTCATGGTATGTGGGAGTCATGTTCCCAGACTCTGGGGTACTTCATCCATGTGCACAGTGACTGGGGGCTAGTCAGAGACATCCATCTCCTAACCTGCTGATTTCTGTAACTGTTGTGATCCTCAGTTTATTTTGAGGGACACGGTTGGGAGATAACTTCCAGATTCTAGTTTCCACAATGATAACACTGTGGCCTGGCTGCCTCTTGGTTTATCTTTTTCCTTTCTGCTTCCGCTCTCAGAGCACTGCATAGTCCCTGCTTTGGATATCTGTACACCATGTTTGAGAATGTGGTTTTGAGCACCTGTCTATGGAGAGCTCAGAGGCAGAAACTGAGGGAGATGTGAGGGGACCCACCAGTCCTATGGTGAAGAGGGAAACTTTCAGGAACCCCAGTGGCTTCCATCTTGTCTTGGTTAGTCTTCTACATTATGGGAATCCTTGGCTTGTGCCTAAGCCTGCTGCCCCACCGCCATTTGCTCTAGTTTCCTCTGTGGGCCCTGTGGGATGAGGGAAGCAGTTGAGCTTGAGGGACAGCAAAGGCAGTCAAAAGAGACCTGTTCCTGCTGACATTCTCTTCTCTGTTCTGCACAAACCAATGTCACTTCAACTTGGAGGGCATTTTCTCTTGCCTGTGTGACCTCCAGGAAGAAGCTGTATGGAGGAATTCACCTGATGGCCTAAGTCTCTTGTGACAGCAGGCTGCTTCAGACTCACCCCAGCTGGAGGCAGAATAACCAGGAGAGAAACCTGGACTGGTTCTATATGCAACTTTCCACAATTTGGGGGAAACCTATGGCAGTTTTCCAGACTTCGGATTCCTCATGTGTAAACCTCTAAGTGGGACACAGTAATRTTGGGCTGAGTGAGTGCTCTCAAATTGGGCTTTGGAGCTACATTTGGTCCTTAGACATATATTGTTTAGTTTCAGACAAATTTGAAYAAGTTGTTGATGTTTAAAAATTTGAAGATTCCACATAAAAATGGAGATTCTACCTTCTCTTGAAAAGCAGGAAGTTGTGACAGCAGTAGGTTCAGCTCCCATAGGCTTACATCTGAGCAGAGGGGCCTATGCCTTTGAGGCTGGCAGGCCATGAACCATCTTGTTTATGAACATGCTGGCCCTGAAGATATTTGAGTCAAAGCACAGGCCCTGGAGCCACCCAGACTTTCAATAAATGTTTTATTCATAGGCCAGATCTAAGACTCAAGTTTCCTCATCTTTATATGTGGCTATTAGAGCAGCCCCACCCAGGCATTGAGCATATTATGTACTTATCCAGTGTCTAGTGCAGATTTTTATTTTATTCTTAGTATCATTGTCATTATAATACRTGTAACAATACGTCCCGGATGAACTCAAATTGAAATTTGAAGTCTGGCAGCAAGTAACGGCAGATGGCAATATTCATGCTCCACCAGTGGGGTCTAAGGCATGGTTTAATGAGCATGTGAGGTTTGTTTATGGACAAGGAACTTTATGACAGAAGGTGGAAGTCCCAGAGGAGTGTTACCTCTCCTGGGGTCTAGGGAGAAGTGACAGTCTCAGGAGCCTGGGCAAGGAGGCTGAGCAGGAAAGCAGATGGGTCATGTTCTTGAGTCACTAGAGGCTTGTAGTGGTGGAGGTCTCAAACCACGGAAGTGCAGGTATTGGTGGAAGGCCTCATTAGCATGGTTGATGAGGCTRGGATATCTGGTCACTTACATTTTTAAAAACTTGTCCATTGTCCTTCACACTGTCACCTCTGCTTTGCTTCTCCCACAGACACATCAATCCCTCTGAGCAGCTTTCCCTGACATCTGATTTTTGCATTCTTTTTAAAGTATTTAAGGTATAATAGTCTGGGTTTCTTGGAACACAGATGCTGCAGCAAGTTTTGTTCATAGGCCAGATCAAAGACCCATCAGCTTGTTTTGCTGCAGGAAGGTTTGCATTAGGTGGAGGGAAGAAGTTTTCTCATAGTGAGGTTGTTGAACATCAAAATATATTCCCAAGGGATCCTGTACAAGCTGAATTCCTAGTGTCTCTCTTCCTATCCACTACCTCAGGGAAGGTTGAATCTTGTGGTAGAGAGCCCGGGGCTTCTCAGAGTGCAGGTCTTGGTAAACCTCAACTCTTGCTCTAGGCTTTTTCATTTAAAAATCTGTCCCAAAGAGGGCTGGGGGTGTAGATCAGTGGTAGAGCACTTGCCTAGCATACCCAAAGCCCCAGCACTGCTAAAATTAAATAAATAATAATTTAAAAATCTGTCCCATAGGCTGAGGGGACATAGTTCAGTTGGTAGTTCACGTGAACAGCCCTGGGTTTGATTTCCAGCACAGCAACAACAACAAAACAAAATCAAAAATCCAACTGCCGCAGTGTCACTTTGTACTACCTGGAGGGAATTTTTTTACTTGGTTAGTTTTTTTGTTTTTTGGTAGTGAGGACTGAACCCAGGGCTTTGCATACACTCGGCAAGAACTCTACCACTGAGCTATACCCCAGTCCAACTTGGTTAGTTTTCTTAGTAAAGTTCAGCTGAGGGGAGGGTGCTCACAGACACAAGCAGGTGGATTTTGTCTGGCACTGGATAATGTCTCCACTGAAGACTGAATCAGAGGAAATTGGCTTGAGACTCAGACTTAGATAAAAGAGACAGCTTCTGCTGATGAGCTTTGTTGACCCAGCTCAGTCTTGTGGTCTGAGATGGCCTCCTCTGGAAGGTGCCTAAGGCTAGAGTCTCACCTGTTTGGAAGGACAGGTACTCCCAGCCCCCTTGTGCCTTCTAAGAGAGGGCTCCTGCTGACTTCTGTTCAGTCTGCTTTGGGCCACAAATGCTGCTTGTCTTCCCCTACCAGTGAGGCTGAGGTGGGGCCTGCCATAACCTGGGCAGGCTTGGGGAAGTCACATTCTACCATACCTGGTTGTGCCTTTGCCTGGAAGCATCGATGCATCTGATAGGGAGATGAGGGATTCCATTCTTTCCTTCCTTCCTTCCTTCCTTCCTTCCTTCCTTCCTTCCTTCCTTCCTCCCTCCCTCCCTCCCTCCCTCCCTTCCCTCTTCCTTCCCTCCATCCCTCCCTCCCTCCTTTCTTTCTTTCTTGTGTTGGTACTGGGGATTGAACCCAGAGGTGCTCTCCCACTGAGCTACATCCCCAGCTCTTCTATTTATTTTTATTTGAGACAGGGTCTGAAGTTGGCCTTGAACTTGAGATCCTCCTGACTCAGCCTCTGGAGTTCTAACATTACAGGTGTGCCTCCCCATGCTCAGCTTCTGGGTTGATGGATCTTTAAAAGAAGATATCTCAGATGCTCAGACACTTGGAAACACCTTTGGAATTCTTGTCTACTTTACAGGAATTTGAGGTGCTTATTTGGTTCCAAGTCACCTTGAAATCCCTGGCAATATTTGGAACCCATCACACCTCCTTTCAAATCTTCTGTTTCAGAGTCGACAACACCCCCCAACACCCAGTTAGGTTGGTAAAGTTCTACAGAGGCTCGTTGGTAGAAATCAGTGCTCCTTTAAGGCAATCCTTGTGTCCCACTTGAGATACCTCTGGGAGTGCAGAGGTCTCAGAATAATCCTCGACCAGCTGGCCCCTTTGGCCTGGTGCTTAAACCAAGGTGGTCCCCAGTCCCTTCCCCAAACCCAGCATAAGCTCTTGGCAATAAATGCCATGACCCTCCCCCCAACATCCATAGCCCCCACTCCCTCCCTTTCCTGGCTTTACCCAGCTCTTCCCCTTGATTGTGACATTCCTACAGTGGCCCTGTTCCATGATGCTCCCACTTTAGCCCTAGTCCTACCTGAGGTTCATGTCCCCATTCACAGCCAGACTGAAGATGTTGGACAGGTTCCCTCCAGGTGAGCAGCCACAAATCAGGATTGCCAGTGCCTCAATGTTATTCAACTGGAAGACCTTCCCCAGCACAAAAGCAGTGAGGGGCATGATGCCATACTGGGCCACCATGGCGATGGCCAGCCCCTTAGGCTTCAACAAGTGAGCCTTGATCTTGCTGAACTCCATGGTGCAGCCCAGAGAGAGCATGATGACGAGCAGCATCAACACCAGGATGATGCTCAGTGCCAGGTCCGTGGGGCGCTTGCCGAAGTTGGGCGGCAGGGAGAAGTTGAAGGGAACAGACACGTTGTACACCTCCATCCTTCTGGGAGGCAGCAGAAGATCACCCTTGTTCCACTGATGCCTCCCTTCCTTGTTCAGTCCTTGCTGGATGCCTTCTTTAATCCCCTCTCAGGACAGAGTTTCTGAACAAAATATAGCTCTGGGCAAATAGAAAGATGATGCAACTAGTGGACCTGTTTCCAGGTAGTGGCCTTAAAGGGAAGAGAGCCCAGCCTTTTCTGCCTGGCTTTCCCAACTGTCCCGAGTGCTCTGATCTCTGCAGCTTTCTGGGTGCCACTCACTCACCTCCCTTACCACTTGGCCGCTGCTGGATGGAGGGCTTTTCTCCTCTCCTGTGCCCTCCACAGAGCATGGCTTGCTACTATTCTGTCCCTGGGGACCAGTCCCRGACCAGCGCCCACCCAAGCCTAGCCCTTTGCCTTCCCTGTGCTCCTGGTTCCAGCTTAATCGGTTGGGGAAGGTACCCTCCCCATGCCCAGCAGGTTGCCATTTGTTGTGTTGCCTTTGGTTCCTGGATGGAGATGGTATAGCCTAAGGGGCTGTAGGACAGGGTAGGGGCAGGTGGTATTACTGGCCTCCAGGATAGGATGTAACCATGACCCTCCTCTTGGCAGATAAGAATATCGTGTCCTTCTTGCCTGTGTCTTATCCTCAAACTTGGACTTGTGGGTCCCAAGGGGCACGTTGGCATCCCCTGSGATGCAATGCTTACTTCTGGAGGAAAGAACTTGCTTTGGATGGCGCTGGCTCTTGGAAGCTTGGAGGCTCTTTCCCCAAAGGGAAAGCTCCCTGGCTTCAGAGACTAATCTGTGTCTCAGGAGCCCCATTGCTTGGGAAACTTGCTGAGAAAAAAGCAAGAGTACACAGCCTTTTCTTTCTGATTTCCTGAGGCTCTGCTTTTRCACTGGGTCTGTGTCTCAGCACACAGCGGCAGAGAGAGGCAGGCACGAATGTCCTGAGCCTCACATYTTCCTTCCGTCCTTGCTGAAGGGGTGGGACAGGTTTCATATCTACTGCATCACGTCCACGAGGAGGCTGCTTGAAGTTGTGCAGTGCTCAGAATGTATACTGAGGCCAAGGGTGTCATGCTCTTGAAGCCTCTTTCCCTCTTAGAGACGCTCATATTAATGATTTCCTGGTGCTAGAGTTGAACTGGTCTCAAGGGGAAGGAAGGCAGAGGGATGTGTGGTGCCTGGAAGGCAGGTGGCGGGAACCCAAAGTAGGCTGCTTTCTTCTCCTGGAGAGGAGAACTGCCTGTCCCCTCAGAGCTGCCTGGGGAGAATATCAGCTGAGTGCTGGAACTGTGGAAGGATAAAAACCTTGTAATCCATTATACAAACACTTGGGGACCTTATGGTCCATATGAAGCCACCTGGGGACAGAGGATACACATGCAAAGCAGACATTCACGAGGGTGGGGCCACATGGGGCTGCCATATGCAGTTGTACAGGCTTTGACAGCCCAGTGCAGGGCTTAGCATTTACACAGACATCCTGTTCAACCCTACATAGGGCCCTGAGGCCGAAGAAAGACAATTTTTACATATCTGCCTGATGCCCAAGGGGACAAGGAATGATCCTTCAACCTTGGGATATGTCTATTGATCATATTGTTCATATAAATAGAGCAGGGATCCCATAATATATCCATAAACTGGATTCTAAGCTATCTAGTATCCACCAACAGTTCCTCTTCGMCTTTTCTCAGAATCACAAAATTTTCCTATGTCTTGCTGTGACCTTTGCCCTTTGGGAAACACCGTCTTTCCCTGGTTACCCCTCTTTCTACTCCTCTCCTACCAATTCTGTTCCTAGCAATGTGCCTTTGTAGAGAACGGAAAAATCTCTTCTAAAGAGCTGATGACATCCATTCTTTTCTGTACCTACTCTGATTTCATAAAAATTTAGGGGATAAGGGGATCTCTTGTGTAATATTAATACATACACAGAACTCTGTGACTTCATTTCTTATTTAGTCCTCAGAAAAATATTGTGAAACAGTTACTAYGACTAGTCTTATTTTATAGATGAGGAGGAAGGAAAAGGCTCAGAGATATTACATTTTAAAAATTGTTTTAATTTTTAATTTTTGGTACAAGGGATTGAACTCAGGGGCACTTAACCACTGGGCTACAACCCCAGTCTTTTAAAAAAATTTTTTTTTCTTTTTTGCAGTTGTAGCTAGGTACAATACCTTTACTTTA